TTAAATATTTAAATTAATTTAAAAAGTCAAATATCTATTAATAATTGCTGCTTCTCCCATTAATCTCTCCATGTCCTCTTATTTCTCTGATATTACTCAAATCCCAATTAATTCCCTGATATCCCTCTTAATCCTAATAATCCTCCGATATCTCTTCAATCAATTATGCGGAATCATCGTCCCAGATTAAGAGGTTGATATCATGTAAAAGCCCTCTCACTTAATCCTGAACCAAAACTTTTATATTTTCTGCGCCGCAGAAAATCATGACTAAAGTAAAAATTTTAAAGTTTTTTCAATTTTAAGATGTTAGAAATATAAATTTACAAACCTAAAATCAAAGTTTAAAAACATTTATTTTTGAAAAAATGAATTGTCTAAATTTTATTTCCCACACATGGATTCGAACCAAACCCCACAAAATATCAAATAAGTGAAGCTTGACTTTTAAACCACTCAACCACCGATGAACAAAAGGAAAGTGAGATTTGGAAGGAAAGTGAGATTTCCATCCCTGGATTCGAACAACATTCCTATCAAAATAGCTAGATGGCTGAAGTCAGTTAACCTAACCACTCAACCATCGACCAACAAAAGGAAACAGGAGAAAATATAAATATTCCTTTCCCTTTTCCTTCATATATTTAGCATCAAAGTCCCGATCCCGTTCCGATCTCTAGTTAATTAATGCAGTTTGAGTCGGGGGCATAAAAATTTTTCGGGGTTCGGGGTCGTCGGGGTCGAACTTTCGGGGGTCGGGGTTTTCGGGGTTGGGAATGTCGGGGTCGGGGTCGGGGTTTTAGGTCAAAAAATGTCGGGGTTCGGGGTCGGGGTCGGGGTTAGTCGGGGTCGGGGACCAACCCTACTCTAAAATTTTGCATTTACAAGTTGGAAAGCCTTGATTGAGAGATTAGTGGATTTTGTAAGAAAAATTAAAGTGAATAAAAAGATTAGTGTTGATTAAGAGAATTTCAACGGATATCGAAAAGTTAATTCCTCGATATCCTCTTAATCCCCAATCCCGACACTTAATCCACCAAACTAAAAAATAACACATAAAATACCATAGTACTGAAATGGCACTGAACCTCTGGTTGCACCCTCTGCCTATTTTATGCTGCTGTGTTTATGTAAATAAAAAATAAAATTATTTTTAAGCTGTTAAGTTTTCTTTTTAATAAAATAAAATTTCAAGCTTTGTTGTCTCTTATTATTGTTTTTGTTTTTTATTTATGTATTTGTTTGACAATTTCTTTTGTTTGATTAAAATTTTAAAGGTGGTAATAAACTCGACTTCTTTGGCCCAAAACATATTAAAAAAGTTGTTTTCTTGGGTTTCCAAAATTCTCAAATTTCCACTGCGGGACTGAAAAATGAAGAAGTCGATACTTTAGAATCCCCCTAACTCTAATCCTCTGATATCACTTTTATTCACCCAAATCACACTATATTTTTATTAATTACAAATCTCCCGATGAAGTATACTCCTTATTTTCTATCTAGAGTCCGGAGCTATTACTCATTATTTCCGTAGCCAATATTTTAAAATACACGGAGCTGTATACCAATAAGGAGCAATATGGATACCAATACAAATAAGGCCCGAAAAACCCATTAACCAACCCGCATTATGGAAGGAACATACTTTATAAGTTCTAAGTTTGAACATCTCAAAAACCTTATCACAAAAAAAGGATAAAAAACCCATTTTTAATTCAAATTGTCTTGTAATAGTAAATTGCAATTGAATTTTGTTTCGACTCATAAAATTTTTATTGGACAAGTAAACTTTCATTGGTCTATTAAAATACCAGAGCCAATTTTCTTAGCATGTTTTGCCAGCTACGAAATAAGCTTTACTAACAACGTACGAGATCCTGTCTTTTAATAATTTGTAATTAACAAAAAGGAAAAATTTAATTATTTCAATAATAATTGTTCAACTTTTTGGATAATACGAATAAAATCTATTTAATATATAAAAAAATATTTATTATTTTCCTTGAATTATCAAGAACTGTAATTTTAAATAGTTTGCAATATTGAAGATAATGTATTTTTGAATAGGGAGTAAAAATCTCCCTAAATTTTCTAATGTGGTTTTATTGACAATTTATTAAAAATGCATACGTTTATCTTCGGTTGAAATTTGTGCGTGATTTTAACTTTAATTTAGCGAAATTTTTCTTTTAACTTACTTTTTCTTACTTTTATTGTGTTTGTATTTTCTTCTCAAGTTTTTCTTAAATAATTCTATTAATATAGCCGTTCACAAATTTATATTAGATTTTCTTTGTTCGGTTGCCTTGGACAACGCGGGGAACATTTTTGAGTTAACAACAAAAAAGAAAAACTTTTAAACAAGCCTTGAGGTGATTCTTTTCTTTAAATGGCAGAAAAACTCTTTTGCTTACTTTGTTGTTTTACTTAATAGTTTTTTTCTCATTAATTTTTCTTGTTAAATTTCAAAATTCCTCTCCTTTTTTAAGAAAGTCAACTATAGCTCGAAAATAATCGAAGATTTAATGAGTAGAGGCAGAATTTTTATTTTAATGTTACTTCCTTTTCGAATAAATTTTGTTAAAAAATGCCATAGGTTTTTCTATATTTTTTGAGTAAAGTTACATTTTAACATTTTTTGTAAATTTTTGCCAATTTATTTCAATATTTTATGGCCATATTTTGCGATTTTATTTCAATAAGTATCCTATATGGTTTTACTATTGAATATAGGGGAAAGTTTTCTGCTTTTATAGGGAGTCGCTAAGGTTTACTTTAAAAGTCAAAACAAACAAAAAAGACTAAAAAAAATTAGCTTTACTAAAATCATTTTAAATAGGGTTTGAAAACTTTCATGTTCAGGGCAAAGCCATGATTTTAGGGCAACTCTCTAAAATTTCTAAAATTGTTTAAGGGTTAAGGACGTTTATTTGGAATAAGAAATCTGTCGGATTTCAACTTGACTTGCAACTTCCCATCTAATATTTAACTATGATTCTTGAATAGTTTCTGATTTCCGAACTCTTTATCCTTTCCAGCACACAGATTAGGATCAAATCTCATTAATTTTAAATTTAAAGAATTTTAAAAAGTTTCAAAAAATATTTTTTTTAATTATTTCAGTTAATTAAATGTCATCAGAAGCACTATAATTTTAATGGGTATGTTTCTATTATTTTGATAAAATTTTCTAACATTTCATTTAATTTTCTTCATTATTTTATAAAATTGAAGCCTTTCTCTATTCAATTTATTCAAATAAATTTAAAAAAATTCTGGAGTACTTGAAATTAATTTTTTTTATTTTTTCCATTTAATATTCTCAATTTTCATTATTATTGTTTTAAAAATAAGTCAAAAAAATTTTTTTCTTTTTTCTTTTTGTCATTCCTTTCAATAGCTAATCCAAAAACAAATAGAGGAGAGAGGAGATCGCATGGCTGTCTATTATAATTTTGACTTTTTAACCCTCTTCTCGGCTTATATTTTTGTATTTTTATTTTTTTCTTTTATTTTTCTTTAAATTTTTTGTTTGTTTAAATATTGAAATACTAACATGTAAATTTCGACGGATTTTAAAATAAAATATTTAAAATTACGGAATAACATGACCTCTGAGCAATAAGCATGGGGGTGTCTTTGTTTAACCATATCTTTTTTAATTTCCAACGGATTTGGATAATTTTTATATCAATCGAAAGCTCTTGAAGAGTTGATCATTTTTCTTAAAAGGAATGATTTTATCAGATAATCTGATAAAAAGTTACAGGCAAATAACGACCAAAAATGACAATTTTCCGCACTTAAAAGGCTGTAACTTTTCAATAAATTGTTTAATCTGAATAACCCTGCTAGAAAAAATATTCCTCACAATTAGAGCTTTAAAATGATATAAAAATCATTCAGATCGGTTGGGAAATAAAAAAGTTGTGGTTAAAAATATAGGGATAACTCAACATCAAAAGGAGGTTAAAAGTTGCGTACTAAAAAAAATCAAAAAACCGGTTTTAAATGATCACAACAAGGAAATGTGTTCGTCTTTAAATTTTAATAGTTCAAAATAAAAAAAAATTAAATTTAAAAAAGAAATAAAATTCAATACCCGCAAAATATAACAAAAAATCTTTTTAAAATTTTTTTTATTTTTATTTATTTTTTTTTTCATTTTATCTGGCAACGATTTCTTATTAAATTTTAAGCATATTTAAATTTTAATATGTATTTAAATAATCCTTATTAGAAAATCTTTTTTAAATAAAAAAAATTTTTTTGTGAGGAAATACTGTCAGGAAAAGCACACAAATTGATTACTCTCGGTTTATTTTTTTTCTATTTTTTTGTTTATTTAAAACCGTTCGCTGAACTGTGAAGAGCGAACGTCTGCCGTTACAAAAAATATTTTTTTGTGATGTGGCAGAAATTTATTGGAGAGGAGGCGAAGCATCGATTACGATTCAATTCTTTCTCTCTCTTTGTCATCTACAAAAACTCCCCTGTGCCATTATTTAATTCTGATTTGTATTTTTATTGTATTTAATTGAGAGAAAAAATACAAATCAGAATTTATTTGTGTTTTATGTAGGTGAAGTTTATTTTCTGTATTTTTCTGATGTTTTTGTATTTTTCTGAAAACACAACAAAAACACAAAAACAATGTTTTAATTTAATTCTGATTTTTAATTTTTGTGTTTTTGTTTTAGATGTTTTTGTAGATGTTCGAATTAATATGTGTTTTTATTGTTGCAAAACACATAAATTCTGATTTATTTCAACAACTCAAAAACTTCCACAAAAACATCAGAAACAAAACACAAACATTAAAAATCAGAATTTTAAATAAACTTGTTTTTGTGTTTTAATGTTTTTCTCAAACAAGTTTTACTCTTTTTGCAACCTTAAAAACATTTGTATTTTCACAAACAAAATACATTCTTGCTTAAATAATTTTTGTGTTTTCTCATGTTATTTATGATACTAATATTCTATTGCTCGCAAGGCTTTTATAATATTTTTCCAAAAATCGTTATTAATAATTCCCTTACCAAACAATAGTCAATTCTATCCAAATGCAAATCATCTCCAAAAATCAAACAAAATAACCATGCATTTTTACAAAAAATAAAAAAAGCTTTGTAAACCAAACACAAAATCAATGAGATAAGCGGCAACATTAAATGCTGCAAATGCGAAAATAAAAAAAAATTAATGTTTATTCGAAAATTAATAAAAATACTAAAATATAATGTTTCAAATTTATTATTTATTGCTACAATTTTTTATTTTCATATTTATAAAAAAAATTTTTTTTCATTCATTTTAGTAGTTAAATTAATTAATAATCTTTTAAATTAATTATTTATGTGTTTCACCAAATGTGTTTTTCTAAATGTGTTTTTCTAACTGGAAAAATACAAACATTTATTTACTAAAACACAAAATAAATTCTGATTGGTGTTTTAGCATTGTTTGGTAAAATTAAAAATTCTGATTTTTCATAAAAACACAAACACAACAAGCAAAACAAAAATTATGTTTAAAATAAATTCTGATTAATAATCATTTATTTGTTTTTGTATTTTCTTCAAGTTTCTTAAAAACAATTAAAAACTTGAAAAAATACAAAAATACTTTTCCGGAAATAAAAACACACAAAATAAACTTTTCTATCAAAACTTGTGTTAATTCAAAAATTAAATTTTGTAACAAAAAATTTTTTTTTATTTGAATCATTTAAAAATTAATCTAAAAAATAAATATATATTTTGCAAAATGATTCATTTACTAGTTTCATTTATTTACCATTTTCTCTTTTTTCAATGCATGATCCTTTGAATCATTTGCATGATTATTTTTTGACAAGAATAAATTTTAATATTGAAAGCAAACATTTATTTTAAATATTTTTAAAAATTCTTAAAATTTCAGAATATCTTTAAAAATTATTTTTATATTTTTTCCGTCATTAATTTATTAGTTTATTATGTATTTTTGTATTTTCGCAAAGTTTATTTTTAAAGAGGAAAAATACAAAAATTTTCCGGAAAACACACAATTTTAAATAAAATCATTAATTATGTGTTTTTCCAAGTTTATTTTATAAATTAGGAATATACAAAAAAACACAAAAAAATACAAAAATACAAACACTTTCTGAAACAAAATACATTATCAATTTTCTATGTATTTTCTCCACAAGTTTATTTTAAACAAATTAATCAGAAAAGAAAATACAAAATTATTTTCCGGAAACACACACACACACCCTTTTAATTAATTAATTAATGAGTAATTAATTTTATTTTTTATTTTAAAAACAGAGCCATCAGAATCCGACAAACGACATTCATCTGCGTCAATCCCTTCACTCCCTAATTTATCAAATTATTCACCAAAAGAGGTGAAAGAACAGGAAAAAGAAGAAGAAATTTTAAAACAAGAAGAAGAGTCATCATTAAAATCGTCATCTTGTTCTTCTTCTGCTGGTGAAATCACTGACGGTCAAATAAAAGAAGAAGAAAATTTAAAAAATAAAAATAATGTCGAAAATAGCTGTGATAGTAAGGAAAAAGTAAAAAAATATGTATTTATAATTAAAAAAAATTAAATTAATTTTCAGAATTTAATTGACGAAGAAATTAACGACAAAAATAAAGAAAACACAAATAATTCTGATTTTGATAAATTAAATAATAAATTGGCAGCACCAGAATTTGTTGCTACAGGAAACTTGGAAAAAGAAAAAAGTTTGTATTTTCTTTTAAAATTCTGGTTTTTTAAATAAAAGAAAATACAAAAAAATTCTGATTGTTTGTAGATAGAAATTCTGATTTTTATTTAAAAACACAAATTCTGATTCTCGTTTGTGTTTTTCAGAATTTTTTTTGTTAAAATTAAAAATTCTGATTTTTCATAAAAACATAAACACAGTTAGCAGAACAGAAACTCTGATTATTTTGTTTTTTAAAATTCTGATTTTTATTTAAAAACACAAAATAAATTCTGATTTTCTTGTGTTTCAGAATTAATTAAAACATAAAGAACGCTTAATTTCTTTGTGTTTTATTTTAATTAAAGTTGTATTTTTTTAATTTTAGCCGAAACACATCCATTTAAATTGCTCAAGTTGTGTATAAAGGCAATGATACCCAAACAGAAACTCGAGTCAAGCAGCGGTGATCCTGTTAAGGAAAATATAAAGAAAGGAAGGAAAGAAGAGCATAGAATTGTTAAGGCGAATGACAGGGAATTTAATGCTCAATTTAAATATGCGGTAAATTTAAAAAATTTTTAACACAGAATTTATAAATGTGGAGAAATAAAATCCAATTAAGTTCATTATGCATTTCTTTACCTTATAAATTACCATACATTTTGGTAATGTTTGAAAACTCTTTATAGGGGACTGAAGCGCAGTCCCCAATCCCAAAAATTTAAAAAGTACCGGGTTCGGGATTGTAATATTAAGAACAAAAAATCTTTATAAACTAATTAAATTGGATTTTTATATATTAAGTAGAGAAGAAAAATTGATCAAAAATTAAGAAAAAACGTAATTTAAGACAGAATTCTACAAATTTGGGAAATAGGAAAATACATAGGACCAGTTTAATTAACTACCTTATGTGTTAGAAATAATTTTTTCTTTGATGGCTTAACTTTGCACATTAGAAGTAACCGGCTGTTTTCGAGTTTCTTATGCAAGAATTCTGATACAAAAAGTAACAGAACAGCATATGTAAAAATTTCCCAGGATCTTTCCTACTCACTTTTTTAAATATTTTTCTAAGATTTCCAATATTTCTCAATTCCATTAAAATTCTTCTCAATCCTTATTTCTTCCCTCACATGAAATTTTTTAAATTAAAAATGACCCTTTCAACAATTCACTCATTTAATTTTTTCCAAATTTTTTCAAGGACAATTTTATCAAAACATCCAAATATTCACTGCTCACTTTCGTCCCAGTCAATTTATTTCAACAATTTACCCGAATTGCCAATTTTTATTTTCTTGTGTTGTTATGTCTTCAATGCATTCCTCAAATAAGTTCTGTAAATTGGGTATATACTTTAGTGCCTCTCAGCTTTGTGCTTCTTTGCAGTGCCATTAAAGATGGTTACGATGATTTGGTAAATTTATATTTTGATAAAAAATTTTCTGTTGTGATCTAAATTAGTCTTGTCAAAAAAATCCGTTTATTCGAAAAAAGATCCTGTTTGGAAAAAGTTTTAGGTTGGGTTTTCCAGGTTCCGTACCAGAGATCCTGTCTTCCCGATTACCGACGTTTTTTTCGGTCGGGATCCCGATTTCCCGAAATAGAAAATTTTTGTTTTTTGTCGGCAGAATCCCTGATCCGTACCCCTACTCTAAATTTAAGATTTTATCTAGTTCATTAGAGGAGTGGTTTCGCAAACCTCTCTCTCGCTTTATTTATCCGCTGGGCTGAAAAATTTTATTTTATGATTGTATCGTTAAGTCAGCTTCCCCACTCAATAGATATAAATCTTAACATTACTTGAAATATGTATAACTTGAAATGCGTGTGGCTGGGTGAATATGATCGAAATTTCCAATCCTCATTTGAACCACCATCAATTTGTCCTATAAAAAATCTTTCTCAATTTTTCTTTCCCTTTTATTATACGTATTCCATTACTTGAAGGGGGTAGATAAGAAAATCTTATAAACAATAAAAAATAAGAAAAACAAAAAAATTTTTTTAATTAATTTAAAGCAAAGGCATCGTAACGACCGTATAGTAAATCAAAGGGTAGCTTATGTTCTACGTTACAACACAAAAAGGGGGAAGATTGATATTTGTGAAGAAGAATGGATGAATGTAAAAGTTGGTGATATTGTCCGTATGGAAAGTGGAGATTTTATTGCTGCTGACCTTTTATTGGTAAATTGAAAATTCTGGGGGGAAAATTTCAAAAAAAAATTTTTTCTTAGTTATCCACATCGGATTCAGGCATTTGTTACATTGAAACAGCTGAATTAGACGGTGAAACTAATTTAAAAACAAGAATGGCGTTGCCGTGTACAACTGAAATGGGGGATATAATTGATAAAATATATGAATTTGATGGTGAGAAATTCTTTAAAAATCTTTTTAAGGGAAAACAATTTTATAGCCAATAGACTATGTTTGATTAGCAATCACACCTTTGAGGAGGGATTAAAAATCTGCTCAAGGAAAAAGTTTAATTGAGTTTCGCGTGAGATTTCAAAGATTTTTTCGGGTCGACTTTCGGATAACCAGACTCACATCCCTCGAAGGCTAAGCTTGAGGGCGGGTCGACGCAGAAGACCCACAGACAGAAGACCCACAGACAATTTTTCTTATTTTTATCTACACTGCTTTCATATTGGCTCCTTACCTATGGTCTTTTTGAGGGTCCTTGCTCCTGCGAAGGATGTCAAGCATGCCCACTGCATCGATAACAAGAATAGGTCTATGTTACTAGTGCAGAACCCAGCGACCGTTGACTACCTGCGAGACGCGTGCCGCAAAACCTCGCGCGAAGCGCGAGGTTTTGCACAAGCGTCTCGCCGACGCCCCATAGGTTTATATTGTTTGATTTTCGTATCGTAACTTAGTCACGTCTTGTTATTCTAAGCTTTTAGTAGAAATTTTTCCTTGTGGATCTTTTCTCTGTGGGTCTTCTGTCTGTGGGTTTTCTGTCACTACGCCGCTTGAGGGTTAAGCTTTCGTTAAGTTGTAACAATAACAATTCAAACATACCGTTAAAGCACTGTTTGAAAATTTTTTGCAGGGGACTGAAGCGCAGTCCCCAATCCCAAAAATTCTAGCAAGGAGCACCTGCATAGGTCAGGTTAAGTGCAAAGATAAATCTTTATATGTATATTAAATAAATTGAATTTTTACATATTGTGTAGAGAAGAAGATTCAAATTGTAAATTAGTAAAAAAAGCTTAAGACCAACATTTTTAATCTGGAGTAAAATAATCTTTTTAAATAATTCCTTTTTGGCTTTGAAAATAAATTTACAAATAATAAAAATCAGAATTAAATTTAAACATTAACAAAATTAACCAGAACTTCAAATATTCTGATTTTGTTTTCCTATAATTAATTCTGGTTTTCTTCAAATTTAATTCTGATTTATTATGTGTTTTTGCAGTCCCACATGTTACTCTAGTTCAGAAAAACAAAAATCTCTATTAGGCATATTAATTTCTTTGCAATTTATTTAAAATATTTTTCTCATTAAAAAATTATTTTTCAAGGTTTAATAGTCTGTGAACCACCCAACAACCGATTAGACCAATTTAATGGCAGACTTGAATGGTTAGGACAAAAATACAATTTGGATAACAATAATATGTTGTTGCGTGGATGTTGTTTAAGAAATACTAGATTTTGTTATGGGGTTGTTGTATTTGCTGGTGCTGATACTAAATTAATGCAAAACAGTGGAGAATCGCCTTTAAAGAGGACTAGTTTGGATAAATTCTTGAATATCCTGATACTTGGGGTGAGTTTTAATTTTGAAAAAATCAGAATTAAAAATAAACGTGGAAACATGGGAAAATAAATATAGAACAAAAAATCAGAACAAAAAATCAGAACAAAATCTGAACAAAACAAAAATTAAATAAAAATCAGAATTAAATCTGAACAAATAAAAGTAAAAAATAAATCAGAACATTTAATTAAAACACTCAGAAATTGATCAGAACAACATTTAAACAAACCAGAATTAAATATTAAAATGAGAATATTTTAAAGAAAACACTCATAAATAGGATGTAGAAATCAGAATTAAATTCAAACATTACCAGAATTAACAACTACAAATATTCTGATTTTGTTTTCCTATTATAAATTCTGATTTTTAGCTATGGTGTTTTGTTCAGATTTTGTTCTGATTTATATATTTTTATTATTCTGAACATATTTAAAACAGAATAAAAACACAAAAATAATTCTGATTTTAATGTCTTTTAGATTGTTCTGTTTCTCTTTGTTTGCACTTTAATTTGTACTTTAATGACTGGATTTTGGGAACAAATTGTGGGCAGACATTTTCGTGTATTTCTGCCTTGGGATGAAATTGTTCCTCGAATAAAGAATTTAACGACAGTTCAATTACCTGTTGTACAAGGAGTTACTTCTTTTTCGGGAGATGATTCTGGTGCAGAGGAGAGGGCTATTGCCCCCTCTCAAGTTTTGTTTATTGTTGCTTTGCAATTTTTCTCTTATATTATTTTGTTAAATACTGTTGTACCTATATCTCTATATATCAGGTAAAATTTGAGAATTGAATCAGAATTTTAAAGATCAGAATTAAAATGAGAAATAAATCAAAAAATAAGAACCAAGAATCAGAATTAAAATCTAAAAAGTAAAAATCAGAATTAAAAAACAGAATTAAAAATCAGAAAAATTCAGAATTAAAACATCAGAATTAAAAAACAGAATTAAAAATCAGAACTAAAAATCAGAATTTAAAAATCAGAATTTTAAAAATCAGAACAAAAAATTATTTTCAGTGTTGAAATGATTCGTCTAGCCCATTCAAAGTTTATTAACAGCGATTTAAAAATGTATGACCCAAAAACTGATACTCCAGCAAATGCTAGAACAAGTACTTTAAATGAAGAATTGGGACAAGTTCAATATGTTTTTAGTGATAAAACTGGGACTTTGACTCAAAACGTTATGGTAATTAAAAATAATTTTTTTAGGAAGGAGGTTGTGGATAGAAAAAAATTTTAGGGGGAGGAGGGAAAAAATTTCAAAAAAAATTTTTCAAGGGGGGTGGGGGTGGGGTGTATAATTTTCAAGAATTTTTTCAAATTTTTTTCCCAAAGGTTTTCAAAAAATGTTCAATAAATGGACGCAGCTACGGCGACTTTCGAAATGAAAGGGGAGATGTAATTGAAAATATTGATGAAAATACACTTCCAGGAATTGACTTTTCTTTCAATCGGTGGCACGAAAAGAATTTTAAATTTTATGACAAAACGTTGCTTATAGATACTGTGGACGGGTTGAAGGAGGTAAATTCTATCAACTAGAGGAATTACTTAAATTTTTTTTGACATGACTTGGGGGATATAATCGTGTCAATTAGGAAAGGTCCTCTTCAAGACCACGTTTTATTGGTCCCCAGATCCATCAATATCTTCTTACTACCCCCAAATCCCCCATTGTCCTTCTTAATCTCCCAAATCCTTCGATATCTCTTTTTATTTTTCACTAAAATATACGTAGGTTAGCGGTAAATTTGGAGGATCCTTTCACTGATGGATTGCCCAGATACATGATTTATTAGCCATTTCATAATAAAATCTTCTGCGGGTTAACTAGTACATTCACTAACAACAACCTTTAAACAATTAACTTTATCACTAATTATTAGGTACAAGAATTTTGGCGTTTACTGGCCATTTGTCACACTGTAATGCCTGAAGGTAAAGGAGACGTACTTGAATATCAAGCCCAAAGTCCAGACGAGGCAGCCCTGACTTCTGCAGCTCGCAACTTTGGATTTGTCTTTAGAAGGAGAACGCCTCAAAGTATAACGTTGGAGGTTAATGGACGGACTGAGGTATTTTAATTTTTGTTTGGGTTTTTGGTAAATTTTCCCCAGAGGAGATAAAATGAATTAGCTAGTTTAAAATGAACCTGGTAGAAAAAAATTTGTTGAAAAGAAAAGTACATTATTTTGTCCAATTTAATAAATTTTATGAGAATAAAATAACAATAAACTTGAAGGAAAATAAATTTTAGAATTATAAGAGAATCTGCATAATATACAGAAATGCAATATTATTTTACATATATAGGTTTATTTTGATCTAATATTATCATCGATTTTGGTAACACAAGTTTATTTTTGGATGGTGTCATAGAGATGTACGCCAAATTTTCTGTTTTATTGGTGTTGTAAAGTTTTAAACTTTTACTGCTCAAGTAGATAAGTTTCCAGTTTCACTTCCAGCTTAATGAGGCTTAATTAAGGAAAAACTTGTTTGAAAAAAAAAAAAATTTTTTTTCAAAAATGTATCTACTACTTAATATAAAAAAATGCAATAATTATTAAACTTAAGTTTATTTGAATTAGAAGAAATTGCAACAAAATGTTTTGGGAAGGGATAAAGTAGTATTTTTGGATGGGTAGTTAAACCTGACTCTACTAATTTTATCGAAATATTAGGCTATTTTGTTCAGAAAGGTCCTAAAGTTTGGAGGCGTTTTTGATTCTAACGGTTGTCCGATCGCTTCTGATCAAATCTTATCAATCCAGTCAGATACTAATCGTTTTTATTTTTGCTTTACTTACTAAACTGGTGGAAATCACGCCGGCATTAACTAGATCAACCCTACCTTCTCCAATTTCAGACCTATGACGCCTTACACATTTTGGATTTTGACAATGTCCGTAAACGCATGTCTGTGCTTGTCCGAACACCAAATAATCAAATTAGACTTTATTGCAAAGGAGCTGATACAATGATAATGGAAAGGCTTAGCGAGAAGGATACAAGCCAATTATTACGTCAAGCAACGCTCCAACATTTGGATAAATTTGCAACTGATGGTTTAAGAACACTTTGTGTGGCGTATAAAATTGTTGATGGAGAATATTGTGAAAAATGGCTGGTTAGTTGACAATTGTTCAAAAAAATTTTTTTGAATTATTTAATATTAATTTACTTAATATATAAGAATGCAATAATTAGTTCACTTAAGTTTATTAGGATTTTTTGAATAGGGAGGTGTCGGCTAATTAAGTTTATATTTTTGGATGGTGAGTTAATAAATGCTCGCCAAATTCTTAAAACTTGTTATTTTTTGACCAGACTGGTGCATGGATACGGATAATATCCGGATATCCGCGGGTATCCGCGGATACGGACGGATATGGATAGTGTTTTTTAAAAAATCGGACGGATACGGATGGATACGGATATGATGCTCCAAATCCGCGGATATCCGTCCCTAATTTTCCCTAATTTCTGCGATTAAACATCCATGATTAAATTATAAAAATACATTTTGCCATGAGAAAATAATTATATTCCCAACGCCAGGAGAAATTGATTCTCGCACATGACCCCTAACCCCGACCCAAAAGTCAACCCGTGTCGACGCAGAAGACCCACAGACAAAAGACCCAAGGACAGAAGAACCACAGACAAAAGACCCACAGACAGAAGACCCACAAGGACAGAATACCCATAGACAAAAGACCCACAAATATTTTTTGTTTCCATTTTATTGTGCATAAATTTTGGCGCGAGGGATGTTGTTAGTTCTATTTGTTTTTCGCAATAAGGGGTTGATCCAACAACGGGAAAGTTGTTTCAATATTAGGAAAGGTAGTTCCAACAATCTGGAGGGTTGTTCCAAAAGTGTGGGACGATGTTCCAATGACAGGGTAGTTTGTTCCGACCACGGGAAAGAAATTCGCATCTGTGTCGCTAAAAAGGTAGAAAACTGACTTCTTGGCCTTTCAAAATTTCCAAAATTATTATCTGTGACGATGAAAGGGAAAGGTAGATCAAAGGGGTATTTAGAATCAAGGGGTATTTAGAAGCAAGGGGTATTTAGGATTAACTGGATTATAGCGAGAGTCACGAGAGTCAGTTAAGTCCACATAGAGGGATATAAAAGTATTAGAAGCGATCAAGGGAATTGGAGATATGCAAGGATAAGGGGATCTTTGGGATAGTAGAGATTATTTATATTTCTGAGTAACATGGAGGGATATCGGTGGATAAAAGCTGATTAGTGGTAAAAGCTTAAAAGTTTACATCCCTTGTAATTTCCAGACATATCCGATTTGCTGTTAATTTCCTTCTCCTAATTCCAGTTATAAACAATTCACGGATAAGAATAGATATCGGTAGATTCGAGATTTTACCCCTATATTCTCTATATCCCACGATATTCCTACATATCCCAATTAATCACCCGACTTTTCAAATCACTTTTTAATTAAATGATCTTTATAATAAATTTTTTTATATTTTAAAATTTATTAATTTTGTGCCTTGAGAAATTGGTAATCTTTTTCAGGAATTTCAAAAAATTTCTTTTAAAGTTTTAGTTTAAAAAATTTCTTGTGGGTCTTTTGTCTGTGGGTATTCTGTCCTTGTGGGTCTTCTGTCTGTGGGTCTTTTGTCTGTGGTTCTTCTGTCCTTGGGTCTTCTGTCTGTGGGTCTTCTGTCACTACGCCAGTCAACCAAGACCCCGGACCACGACATGCCCTGACCGGCAAACGCTGACCCCAACGATCCCGAACCCGAAGGCTCGGGGAGCCCTACTCAGTGCAAAAAATTTTTTTTTAGAATTTTAAAAGCCAAGAAACCATATTTCATTCCTTTCCAGCGCCGCAGGCGAAAATTTAGAGAATTTTATAAGGCCATAAGCCGAAAAAATTCACTTTTTGCTGAGCAAACAAAAATTGAATTTGGAGGTTGGAGGTGAATTTTGAATTTGGAGGTGAATTTTGGAGGTTTTGAGGTGAATTTTGGAGGTCCAAAAACCTATACCAGGCTCATAACCAGGGAAGGAGGGAGGGAGGGGGAATTCCCCACCCCCCTCTCGAAATGGGGAATAGGGATAAATTTGATGAGGAGATTGGGCAAAAAAGTGATTTTTTTGGCCTATGGCCTTCTAAGATTATCAAAATTTTCGCCTGCGGCGCTAAAAATGAAAGATTTTTTGCTTCATGGTCTTCCAAAATTCTCAAAATTTTCGCCTGCGGCGCTGAAATCAACTGGTCAGTTAACCGAGAGTTAACCGAGAAGTCGGGAATTTAAATTTTTAAAAATTCTCAAAAATTTTCAAAATTTTATTTTTTTCTCGGTATGATCCCTGATATGCAGCGTTGGATCGGAATTCCGATCTCTGCCTTCAGATTTTCGAACCTCCGATGTTCATAAGCAAGGTCCGTTTTGCTGCATGCAGTTATTACAGCATTATCTAACCATTACTCGAATTAAAATAAATTTGACCATTTTGAAAATTTTAGCCAGTCTGACCATTTTGAGAAAAATCGGATATATCCGCGGATATCCGCGGATGGATATGCCTAAAAGGTTGGACGGATACAAACGGATACGGATATTGACCTCACGGATATATCCGGATACGGATAGCAAAATCCGTATCCATGCACCAGTCTGTTTTTGACTACATAGTAGTTGATATTCAAAAAATTTTACAAAAAATTTTTGAAAAATTTCAAAATTTTTTAATTTATAGCAGCGTTTGCATGAAGCTCTTATAGACTTGGAGAATAAAGATAAAAGAGTGGATGCTTTATACGAGGAAATGGAATGTGATATGATCTTGTTGGGTGCTACAGCTATTGAAGATAAATTACAGGATGGAGTACCTCAAACAATTGCCGCATTGGCTGATGCTAATATTAAATTATGGGTTTTGACTGGGGATAAAACGGTAATTGTGATTTTATCAAATAAGCTCCCTTTCATACCCCAAAATAGTGATGATCAGTTTATAGGCCGTTGATTCAAGTAAGGATGGATGTACTTAATACAAGTTGTAAGACCCCTCAGGCCCCTCTCAGAATATCTTTGGGTATTGACACGATATGTATAAATTAGATAACTTCAAAAAAATCTAATTTTAAATTGACTAGTTGGCGAAAGTTTTAGGGAGTTATCGGATTATACATATTATGTGGAATTGAAACGATAGTTATAAAACACCAACTTTATTCTACATATATCCTAAATATAAAATTTACTTAATATATGAAAATCCAATAATTAAATCTACATAGGTATATTTTTTTAATTAGATTGAAAACGGTCAGCGGAAAAAATCTGTGTATTTTTGGATGGCGAGGATGTTAGTACTCGCCAAATTTGCTGTAAATTCGTTGGCTCTACCATATTGGATGATTCTTTTCAGAATATAGACCTTAAAGATTATTACGCTATTATTTTATTATAGGCATTAGATCCGGAATTTTGTACTGTATCGATTGTAATACCGGCAAAATTTTACCGGTCGGTATTCATTAACGTCTACAACCCGGGCTATTAAACACTAGATAAGCTTCATAAATCGTCAATTAGGTTCCTATTTACTAAGAACACGTACATAAAGTAGCCTCAAAAATATTCAAAAAATTAATTTAATTTTAAGGAAACAGCCATCAATATAGCCTTCTCTTGTGGATTATTAACCGAATATATGCGTGAGGTGTCCATTATCGACGGCAAGGATGAAAAGGAAGTTGAAGTTCAATTGAAGGATACTATAAGGCGTATGCAAAATGCTAAAGTGCCACAAGTGGGTTTTTTTGAATTTTGTGTTTTCCTACTTTCAAGTGTGTTGTGGAAATTTATAGCTTAATAGATATAGTAGAGCCTCATTATAGGATCCTCCTATATTCCTCTGATATCCGTTTAATCTCTCAGATCCTCTGGTATCTCCATAATACCTCTGTTATTCCCTTGATATCCTACTATATCTCTATAATTCCTCAAATATCCCTCAGGTGTTCCTCTGATACCCTCCAAAAATACTCCCAATTTAAGCTATACCTCCAGTGCTTCGAAATTTCGATGTTGCTCGTACTCTTACATCCTCGTACTTTTTACTATTTTGGCCTCGTACTTCGTACCTGCCCCATTTTTTGCTTGTACTCGTACTTCGTAACTTCGTAACAGGTACGAGTACGAGTTATAGTACGAATTATGTTACGAGCTTCGAAGCACTGTATACCTCATCCTATGAGGTACGCATTTTTTAGCCCGAAGTGTATTTCTTATAGTGAGGTCCGAGTGTATTTTAAAAAAGTGTTTTTAGAAAATTCATTCAATAACTTAACATTTTTAAAAATCATTTTATACTTACATTTTTAATATTTTTGAATTTTTTCCCTTTTTTTGAAAATTTTTACCCAAAAATTCAAAAAAAAATTTATTTTTTACCCTTTCCATAAACATTCCTGTCGTAGGAAAATTTAGCAATTGACAACATTCTACAACAACACAAAACAAAAAACATTACCAACATTTTACTCTTCCAACTTGGTTTTTGTAGCAAATGAGAACGGCCATTTAAATGTTGGGAAACTTAAAGAAAAAGAAACATTGTTGTCTAAACAAACAGAGAAAAAGAAGAGGCAGAAAAATAGAGGAAATGACGATCCGGAAAAACATTCCGGAAAAACATGCGAGAGTGTTGTAGAGACTATAGTAGAAGAAGAGAACAAATGTTCGGATGAATGTTTTGACAATGTTCAGAATTATATTGCCCAACAAATTGCCTTGTTGGAACAATGCGAAGTTGCGGAGCTTATAGAACAAGAAAAACAAATTTTGGAAGAAAATGAGAGAAGGAAGAGAAAATTAAAACAAATGAGAAACAGTAGAAAATCGCAACAAGTAAACGATGTTTTTGATGAACAAGAGAAAGAACATTGTTCTAAACTTTTTCTGAAAAAGTTTGCTTTTGATGAAGAAATAAGGCAGTTTAAGTGGATTACTGAGGAAGAGGAAGAAGGGGAGGATTTAAAAGAGGAGGGGAAGACTATTATATTTTTGGATGGAGAAGATAATGAAGAGATAATATTAAAGGATAACAATGTTGATGTGGAGGTGTTATAAATAAAATTTATATAGTTAAATGTGAAATCTCTGTCTTATAACATCCGTTTGTAACATCCGTCAGGAAATTTAAATAATGTATACAAGTTTTCTCTATGAGCGGATATCTCCTCCGTGGGGCATTTAGATACACTGAATTTATATTTACTTAATATATGAAAATGTAATAATTATTTCACTTATTTGTTAGATTTACTTGAATTAGATGGCAAGCTTTTCCAGGTATGAGTATTTTTGGATGGTGAGTCATTAAAACTCGCCAAATTTTCTACTGTTAGGTTTATTGTCGGAAGTAAAAGGGTGATCTCAGCTTTATTTGATAGGCTGATGACCCCCACTAAAGAGCTGTGCTAATAGAGTTGCAGTATTATTTGAGGAAACGCGGGTACTTATGATAACTCCAATTTAAGTACTTACGATATCCTGCTTGCCCATATCTGGATAGATAGCCTTGGGTGGAGATTTTAAGACAGAGGTTTTGCAATAATATGCTTGTTTAACTATGTATCAACGTCTAACCATCACTCACCTTGAAATAAATAAATTTCTACTAACGAAAGCTTATCTTTAACCCACGAAATTAGTATATACTCGCTATACACTAATCCTGCTTTTTCTAATTTATTTTTTAATTTAATTGTGTTGTGCTTTACACCTTACTTTTGCTTTACTAAAAAATTATTTTTTAAATTTTTTCTTTAAAAATTTAATTTAAGACAGTTGTTGGTGTCAGCAGCTTCTATTTACCTCCAAGAACTCCAATTCGGGAACTTTCCCCATCCCCAACAGAATTACCACAACATCCAAAAGATGCTTCTTCTAGACCTCTCTCCCCAATAATTACTTCCCCGACGACTGATAGACAACAAAGTCGAAGACCTACAGAAATGACAACTATATTCCCTGCTAGTTTGAGGCATGATGAAGGATTAGGGATTAATGGTTTGTTTGAGGGATATTTTAAAGATTATTAATCTGTCTGATCATGAACCTATCTCTCAGGGTTCATGATCAAACATCATGAACCTATCTCCTTACTGAACTAGAAAAATTGGAATATAACTTGAAAATTTCTAGAAAATTTGGGCATTAAGTTACTGTTGGACTCATTGGAAGGGGAACTTTCAGCTCGGATAGACTTCGGAAGACACACCTTTCCAAGATTAGATACAGTAATGTAAGGAAGACTAGAGCATCAGCTGGTGTTTAAAATCACTGCCAAAAGTCACATCATCGATGCTTGCCCCTGGCTAAACTTATATCTCTTTCTTCTATTCAAAAGAATTTTAATATTTCCTTTACTTAAGGAACTAGCAACGTTTTGACTGCAAGATCTGAACATCCAGGCGATAATTTAACGCCAACTCTGGCTGGGCCCACCAGTGATGATTTAAAAGAAGGAAGTGGTGGTTATGCTCTCGTAATTAATGGGGAATCATTGGTGCATGCATTGAAGACACAACATGAAAAAATATTTTTGGAAATTGCAAGGAACTGCACGGTTGGGGGGAAATTTTTTTTTGAGAATTTAAAAAAAAAATTTCAAAAATTTTTTAAGTCAGTTATTTGTTGTCGAGTAACACCCCTGCAGAAAGCCAAAGTAGTCGAGTTGGTAAAGCGAAATATTAAAGCTGTTACTTTGGCAATTGGTGATGGTGCTAATGATGTTAGCATGATAAGAACTGCACATATTGGAGTTGGGATTTCTGGTAAAATTAAAATTTTTACCGGGAAAATAATAAGTAGACGGCCTGACAAAAATAATTTACCTAATTAATAGCTTGTTTTCAAATTCTCTTAAGTAATCCTTTAATTCGCCTCTCAATAGATACATATTTTATCATTGCCATAGTTAGAATCGCTAAATTCACCGAGTTTTTAATCTCAATTAGCCAAGCAATAAAGGCTTGACTTGCAAAAATAAACTTCGAAAATATGGCGGATATCTTATTTGCAAATAAATTTAAATCCACATTTAATCAATATTAATCGAATTAATTAATATTATGCACATGCCACTTAACAAATATAAAAAAAAATAAGCCTGGCCTTCGAACTCTTACTATTATCTATAGAATGATAGGAACATCGTTAGGATGTCATATTTGCTGTTTTTAAGTCTACTTTTATTTAAAATTTATTGAATTAATTAATATTACGCTAATGAATCTCAATGAGGCTTTCTCCCCATAGCACGGAGGGCACTCTTAAGTGATTTCTTTATTTAGACAGCCCATATCAGAAAGTTATAACAAGATTGATAATTTTGCTTTATAGGCCATGAAGGAATGCAAGCTGTTCTATCATCAGACTTTTCAATTGGACAATTTCGATATCTAGAAAGGTTACTTCTCGTGCATGGAAGACAGTCCTATCTACGAATGTGCAAATTTCTTCGTTATTTTTTCTACAAAAATTTTGCTTATACACTTACTAATTTTTGGTATTCCTTCTTTTCTGGATATTCTGCTCAGGTTTTTTCCAAAGAAAAAAATTTTAAAAAATCTTTAAAAAAATTTTCAAAAAAAATTTTTTCTTTCCTTCAGACAGTCTATGATCCTGTGCTCATTTCCCTCTATAATCTTCTATTTACGGCTATGCCTGTGTTGGCTATGGGAATTCTGGATCAAGACGTAAATGATGAATATAGCCTTAGATTTCCTCGTCTTTACATTCCTGGCCAATTCAATCTTTTCTTTAATATGCGAATATTTATTTATTCTGTGATACATGGAATGATTAGGTATAGTTTAGTTAAAGTTTAGCTTTTGGCTGTTAGTTATGTTTCTGAAACAAAAATAACATTAAGTAAAATCAGAGAGACATATGAACATTAATTTGTTCCAAATTTTTAAAAACATGTTTTTAAAAACATTAAACATGTTTTTCCAAACTTGATAAAACTTTTTCAAGCCTAATTTTACAAACAAGCTTAATTTTACGAACTTAAGTTTGTTTTGTTTGTTAACTTCAAACTTGTGAACTTATGTTTATTACCTTAAGGCTTGAAAATTAAACTTTTAAGCTTAAACTTGTTAAGTTAAAAACCTGCAACTTTGGTTCCAAACTTTAAGCTAGACTTGAAACTTTAAAAACTTGAAACTTTTTTTTCAAAACTTGAAACTTTAAAAATTACTTAACCCAGTCAAGTCTATGGACTTAAGTATTAATATTCTTTCTTCAGTTCACTTGTCCTTTTCTTCGTCCCATATGGAACCCTTTACAACGCTGTTAGTTTTACTGGGCGTGATATGAATGACTACTCAATTTTGGCTTTTACATCCTTCACAGCTTTAGTTTTGGTAGTTAATGGACAGATTGCTTTTGATACTTCTTATTGGACTTGGATTAATTGGTTTGTTGTTCTTGGTTCTGTGGCTGTCTATTTTGGTGTTGTTGTTACTATATATCAGGGTAAGTATTTATATTTTTAGTCGAACTTAGTTGTCTAGATTTGCTAAGGTTAGTCTTCAACTCGTTTAGGAGAACATTTTTGGGGGACGAGGATGCGGGAGAGGAGAGGGATTCCATGTAGGGAATCGTGGTCAGGGACCAACCCTAAAGTACACTCATGGCATTTGACAAATCAAATAAAGGAGTAGATTATCATCTCCATAAAAATCTTTTATATACTTTAGTTCTCCCAACCCGTTGGCTTTACGGGTATGTTAGCCTTATCAATGTCGATGTTTTTGCTAGAGCTGTCGCCTTTCCAGGATTTTGGCTTTCTTTAGGTGAATAATTTTAAAAAATATTTCCTTAATTAAGGATAATTTTAAAGCTTTAATTTGTGCCATTTTGCTTTTACCAACACTCGGAAACAGATTTTTCTGGTTTGACGCCCACCCTTCCTATGCTGACAGGCTTAGAGTAAGGCATCGTTTATACGGAGAGGAAAAAGCTGCAAAGCCTTCAACACCTGCAGCACCTCAACATGCCTTACCCCCTAGAGGGAGAACTTCTAGATGGAGTTCTAAACAAAGAGATTTACGTTCTGGCTATGCTTTTTCGCACTGTGCCGGTTTTGGGGAGTTAATAGCAAAGGGAACGCTTTTCAAAAATTTGGAGAATCTGCGTATTCCGTCTTTGTGAGTTTAATAATTTATTGGAGATTAATCGGGAAGCATTCGAGTTTCTTTGTATCCCAGATTTCTAAGTGTAGTCTGAGTCAGAATTGATCGGAATTACGATCTTCGCTTTCCAGTTCTGAAGAGTTACCCTCTGCCCACTTCAAGATTATAACCTTATAACTAGGGTTGGACAAAACCGTTTAACTAAACGTTTTACGGTAAACGGGTTTTTAGTAAAATTAAACGGAAGGGTATACGGGTCTTAGATAACCGCTGTGACCGGTATACGGTTTTTTCAAAATTAAAAAGTTTTGTGCAACCCTGCTTATAACGGTTGAGAGTTTTGGAACATGTAGAAGCTTTCCTCACATTTTTGGATAAGCTTAAACCTAATTAATCTTCTTTGAATTATCCTTCTTCCTTTTACTCTCAAAAATACTTCTTTTTAGCCAACATAAACAACAAATCCATCCAACAGAAACTAGCAGCAATACAAGTGGGAATAATGATAGTAGTAACAAATCTACCCGCCGTTTTACTGTTTTTAATGGAGGTGGAGGACATTTGCTAGATTCTTTCCGTAATGCTTTACATGATCGTCAACATCAAAAACCTGAAAATGGGAATAATGGTGATTTTTTCATTCTTTAATAAACACCCATATCTTTTACTTATCTAATAATTAATTTATTTCTGCCTATCTGACATAAATTAGAGTAGCACGAGGTCGTGGCTTTTTGAAAAAAAAACCGTCGCAGAGGATCGCCGAGGTCGGAAAAGCCGAGATAGAGTCCAAGGGGCAAATTTTGGTGAGGTTCGAGGATTACCAAGTTTCTAAGTTTTTTAAGAACCTCTATAACATTTCAAAATCCAATTTAATTTACTAAATTTTATCAAAAATTCACTAAATCATTATCAAAATAATCTGTTAAATATGATTAAGTAGTTGTCTCAAGCATCAGTTTAGTTGTCTGATAAGGACGAAAATCAATATTTCGGCGCAGACCTGGCTTAACTTTAAATAAATCAGAAAAAATTTGTATGGTAGAACCATCCATTCAAAAATATGTATAATAAATGCTCTGTCTGCAACCAACATAACCATTGTATTTAATATAAATTCCAATAGACTTGTGTATTCTTAATTATTGCATTTTTATATATTAAGCAAATTTACAAATAGTAGATGAAGAGAGTTAGTGTTTTATCAATATCGTTTCATGTCCGCCCGATATAATTTGTGTCAAATCTGAAAATATTCCCATGTTGATCCTTAAACTCTCGTTTCAAGTGCATCTGGTCATATCTTGTCCTTACTAGTTTACCAAACCGTTATCTCTAATAGTAGGGTTATATCAGGAGTTAATTTATCATAATCACAATTACAGTTTTATCCCCAGTCAGAACCCATAATTCAATATTTGCATTAGCTAGTGCTGCAATTGTTTGTGGCATCCTGTAATTTATCTTCGATAGCTGTAGCACCCAACAAGATTATATCAAATTCCCTTCATGTAAACGCTCCTTTAACTTAAAAAGTTTGAAAATTATTTGAAATTTTTTTTAATATTTTAAATATCCACAGATATACAATCAATACAACTGTTTCCCAAATTTGGCGAGTCTTTATTAACTCACCATCCAAAAATAAACATTCTATTTTTATAGAGCTACTAGCTTTCAATAATTATAATAAACTTAAGTAAAATAATTATTGCATTCTTATATATTAAGTAAATTATACATTAAATGAATTACTTAAAAATTTTTTTTGAATAATTTTCAAAAATTTTTCAAAAGATTAAAAAAACTCTAACGAGCCATTTTTCACAATTTTCCCCATCAACAATTTTATACGCCACACAAAGTGTTCTTAAACCATCAGTTGCAAATTTATCCAAATGTTGGAGTGTTGCTTGACGTAATAATTGGCTTGTATCTTTCTCACTAAGCCTTTCCATTATCATTGTATCAGCTCCGTTGCAATAAAGTCTAATTTGATTGTTTGGTGTCCGAACAAGCACAGACATGCGTTTACGGACATTGTCAAAATCCAGGATATGCAAGGCGTCGTAGGTCTGAAATTGGGGAAGGAAGGGGTGATAAAGGCGTCTCTCCCATCCTAACAAATAGAGTAGAAATTGCTGGATGGTTGAATGCTGCCAGTCTTCAACAATTTGGCGTTTAAATGACAAAGTACCTAAGCCATGAAAATTTGGAGTCAACTCTGACTCCATCCAAAAATATCAAATATAATTGGCCTATTCATGGTGAATTTAGAAAATTAAAATAGAGTTAGATTAAATTATTATTGAATTCTTATATATTATGCATATTCTCTTATAATTCTAAAATTTGCTTTCGTTGTTTCCAATGTTTATTATTTTATTTTGTCTTTTAAATCTTTCAAAAGCTATATATGTAGGTATATATTTGTGAAAATAATTTGTTTTTTCCTCATAAAGAGGATGAATTTCAATACAACCTTCAAGGTACTAGTCAGAACCAGTCTAGAACCAGGTTCATTTTCGATTTGGCAAAGTCCAAATAGAATCCCGCTTCGACCACGTGCAACCCTACTTAAAAGTCATCCACCTGCTTTTAAAATTTACTTTAAAAAATTAGTCAGAATTAGAGACCGGACTTGAGTGATCGATCGATAATATCGGTATCGATAATATCGACATCGATATATCGTATCGATTCGGTCTCTAGTCAGAATGACTGACTATTGGAATAACTAAATTTTGATATTAATTATGTAGTAACAATTTACTTTATCAATTCTTAAAGGTAAAGAATCCTCCTTGAATGTTTCTGAAATTCCTGAAGAAACACCCAACACTACCAATAATAATTCCATTGCCGTAACAAAATTTTCCCCAAGCCTTCCATCAAATATAAGCACAACAACTACTTTGTTGGCAGAAAAGGATGGAGGAGGATTAAACAGCTTTAGAACAAATAATTCAACTCTTTCTGGTTCTGGAACTAGTCAAATAACTTCAAGTTCAAATTCAAACCCTTCTGAAAATATGATAGGGCCTATGATTACACAAATTCCGGTAATTTACTTTATTAATAGTTAAACCACTTGGTCATAATTTTACCTTTAAATTAAATTTAAATGACAGTTTGGTTTCCTCAGAACAAATTTTGGATTATTAGAGTTAATTAGAGTTCCCCAAAGGCGGTCGGAGGGAAGGATGATATTGCTTAACCACTTTGTCAGGCTCTTAGCCGATCAAACAGCTTTTGAATTATAGTTTACTAAAAACAGCAACTAAGCTGATTCTCCCTATTTTCCTGGGTGTTTTAGTCATCTCTCTGGCAAAAAGGCACCTCTCTTCAAAAAATTTTTCCGATCGGGTTTTGGGTAACCCGTGACATCCCTGCTGTGTATCTAGTAGTATCTTAACTAATTTCAGGTTACTTCATCGAATAATACAGATCAAACTGAAAGAAATCACCATCAAATGCTACAAGCAAATAGCTCTTCTGTGCTCGTTCCTATGCGTGTGCCAAGTCCAGATAGGATTAATACAACTCATTCTTTGGTAGTAAATGCAGATATGGACGATGAGAAGCCTTTGCCTAGCGATTGGTTCTTAAAAATTTTCTTGAATTTTTTTAAAATTTATAAGAGAACGAGAAACTAGAAAAATCAGACTTAGACAAGATCTCGTTCAAGAATTTGGAGTTATCGAGATTTTTGAAAATATTGGTTTCGGATCACGATCTTGCCTAAAACCTTGGCTCCTGTCCAGATTACGCGTCCAATCTAATTTTATGTGTTCATCACATTTTTAAGTAACCGGTTCTTCATTTTAGACCAATCGTCCTTATCGTGCGGGAGTAACATAACTCTGATTGAGAAGATCTCTCTATTCCCTTGGATTTTATGGTACTAAAATGAAGAACTGAGTACTTAAAAATGTGATTGGACGCATAAAATGGGATTGGACGCGTAAACTTTGGATGCGTAAAGGTGCCATTGGACGCGTAATTTGATAAGAACCAAAATCTTTTCCTCTTCTCAATTCAATTTTATATATCTTAGGTGTCACAATCCAGATGGCACTTTATACATTCCTGACAGACAAATAACAGAACAAATCCCTTCAAAACAACACCTAATAGAAATACCCGTTCAAATCGCTGGAGGAAAGAATAACAACAAATTTGTCAGTAAAAAGGGCAAAAAGACAAGTTTTGGAGAAAATGATGGAAACAGCAAAAGTTCTTCTGTAAGGAAATTTTTTTAATTGGGCTGACTCGAGACCGGAGGTCACTACAAGTCCAAAATCAAAAAAAACCCCATAAAATAGTCCAGTCAAGACCAGGACTGCACGCAATTAAAAAATTCTGCAACTCGCAATTGCAAACTTTAATATAAAATTATTAAATTACTTAATATGTAAAAATACAATTAGTGTTTTATTTATAATATATTATTTTTTAAAAAGTATTGTTTAACTTGTAATGTTTCAGTTGTTATTTTTGGATAGAGAGTTAGTTAACTTTCTAAAAATTTTTGACAATTGACATGTTGACAAACAGATTTTGAAAACCGGGAGGCGCGAAACTTTAATGAGTGGAATTTTTAAAGATCTGTTGATCGAAGAATTTCTTTGTTTTCAGCGCCGCAGCGAAAATTTGAGAATTTGGAAGATCAAGAAACCAGATTTTTTCCATTTATTGTGAGCAGAGATGTTTCGAAACAAGAAAATCTTCGAAAATCGAAAGAAACAAACCTCGATCATCGAAATCGAAATTTCGAAACAACTCTGATTGTGAGTGTATTTTCGCAAAATTTCGTAAAAATTGCGGTGAAACCGTGAAAATCCGCAACTCGCAATTGCAAAAACCCCCGCATTTTACGCAATCCGCAACTCGAAATCCGCAATTGCGTGCAGCTCTGGTCAGAACAAGGGTTCTAGACCAAGGATGGGCCGTACACATTGCTTTAGGGCAGAGATGGGGCGTAATGCTTTTAAAAACAAGAAAACGGAAAAATAAAAAAATAACAAAGCGAAAGTAGATTCTGCGGACGGTAGTAGAAAGCCATCTCTGCCCTAAGGCAACGTGTAATGCGCTGGACAATTAATTTTATTCAGTGCATTTTAGTATATGTATTCCTAGCCTGGATCCAACCAGATAAACAAATAAATTAAAAATTTTAAGGAAGGGAATATAAGAAAACCAATAGCCATTGAAATAGAAAAGCAACGTCAACAACAAAGATTATTTACTGGAAAACACAGAAACAACAACAATCAAAACCACCAACAAAAAGAAAATGAAAGCAACAAAACAAGTTGGAATAACGAAAGATGGAAATTATAAATTAAATTAGTCTTTAACAGTTTTTTTCTTCACCCAAATGCTTTATTAAATTTCAATTAAACACTTGTATTTATTAAATAAATTATTATATATTATGTATTTTTATTCTGATTTTTGTATTTTCTTTTTTGTGTTTTGTAGTTTTTAATAATTCTGATTATTTTTATATTGTGATAAAGATTATGATTTTTATAATTTTTAGCCTTTCCGATTTTCTAAAAAATTCTGATTTTTTTAAAAACCAAAATTTTGTAATTATAAGGATTCTGATTTTTAAATCATAGTTTTTTCAAGAAAATAACAGACTTGGTATTTGTCAGAATTTGTGTCGTCCCAATTCTATTATAGAACAAACCTGGATAGATAAAAATTAAAGTTGGACAATATCGGTTTTAAAACCGGAATTTTAATATGTTTTTGGACAAATAAAATCTATTTAATATATAAAAATATATTTATCTTTTTAATTAAACATATATTAAACGTGTAGCCTAAGCCTCCTTTCTCAGTGTGATACTATTTATTTTTGAATAGGGAGTCTTAACTCCCTAAATATTAGCAGAAATATGCTTGTACTAAATTTTCATAATTAAGAGTTATTATTTGGATCGTTTAATTAGCTTACCGCATTTTCTCTAATTGAGCGGAAATGCATTTATTATCTTTAATTTCTCTCTTTTCACTTTAGGAACAGTTTAACAACTTAATTTTAAGAAAATGAGTGATTCCGACATTGATGTTGTGAATGTTAGTAATTCTGAAGAAGACCCAGATCTAAGCATAACAAAAAATGTCACCGTACACAATAGCTCAGACTTCAAGCGATGTTTCTTTGGCGTTTTGATTTTATTTAATGAATAATTTTTTCCTTCATTTGAACGGCCTTTGAGACGGGATTGAAAAATAGAACCTCTATTAGAGAAAATATGGTATATCAGAAAATCAGAATTTTTTATTTCTAAAAATTCTGATGTATAAATTTACTCTTCAAAGGCAAGAATTTATTCAAAATATATAATATGTAGAAATCAAAAAATGAACGAAAAAAGTGAGTGGCCATAAACAAGGACAATACAAAAATACCATGAAAAAATAAGTGAACAAAAGTTATTGTAAATTACACAAAAATTGTCTAAACAAATCTACTTTAAAAACTGTGAGCAGCAGTGTTTGGGACACTTTTTCTAACAAAAATCAGAATTTTATTAAAATCAGAATTTTTTCTGATAATTCCGAAAACTCAGAATTTTTGATCAAGAAAAATCAGAATTCCGAAAAATCAGAATTTTTCTTATAAAAATCAGAATTCTAAAAAATTTGAATTCTGAAAAATCATAATTTATTCAAAAATCAGAACTTAAAAATACATAAATTCTGCCATTTTGCCCAAAACACTGATTAAATAAAAAGAAAAAATTGAATAAATGCTTAATTCTTTAAAAATGTATTTTTTTACATTAATCAAAATGAGGTCAAAAAATATTTATAAAAAATTCAAAAAAATTAAGTGAAAGTCCATTAAATACAAATCAAGGCAAGAAAAGACATTGTTTATAGCCGGGTATGTGTTACGGCAAGAATTGATTTAATAAAATACATAAAATTGGAGCCTGAGTATTTAAATAAATAAAAGTATAAATTGTAGTTAGGGATGACTCTGATTTTGAACTGAAAAATAAATTAAGAAAATCAGAATTTTCGAAAATACAGAAATCAGAATTTTAGGATAAGAATATTTCAGAAATTCTGATTTTTGTGTTTCTTACTTTTGTGTTTTTAAAAGAAACCAGAATTTTGAAAAATACAAAAATCAGAACTTTAGTCATAATAAAATACAAAAAATCACAATTTTAAAAAGACAAAAAATCAGAATTTTAGAAAAAAAATATTTAAAAATTCTGTTCTGTGTTTTGTATTTCATATTTTTGTGTTTTTAAAGAAATCAGAATTTTTAAAAATACAAAAATCAGAATTTAAAATCGGTCATCCCTATATAAAGTATAAAAACATGGGAAAATCAGGCGACACGCTTATTTATATAAAATACATTAACTCGGAATTCAATAAAATACATACATAAAGCATACACAATTAGAACAAAAATTTTCTCAGTTAACGTGATAAATAATGTTTAAAAAATATATACTAACAGAGTCAACTCCCATATAATGAAACCTCGTTTATAACAGACTCCCCCCACGGTAGGAACATTTTTTCTGAAAATTTCTGAAACTTTCAGAAATTTTTTTAAAAATTTTTTCTTCGTGTTCATTATAGATAAGAGTTGACTTTAATCAAAAAATTAAAAAAATCCATTCATCAATTTTAAAAAATTCAAAAATAATTATTTAAACCAACACACTCCTCCTCCCTTATTTATTCCTTACTCCCTCCATTCACTTCCTCTTCATTCCCTTTAAAATCAGAATTTTGTTTCTCGTTCCTTTCAACTTCAAAAACATCGTCAGTCTGTGTTTGAACACTCACAAACACTCTTTTTTGCTTCTTCTTTTTCTCAGCTTTTTTGGTTGTTACAGTACTACTGTATTCACTCATTTCTTCAGTCTCTTTTTTAAGTTCAGCAGGTAAAGAGGCTGCAGCCTTGCTGGAAAGCCTAGAAATATTTTTGAAATTTTTTTGAGAATTTTTAAAAATTATTGAAAAGGAAATTCTTGGTGCTTTGGTATTATCTCCGCATATGTCCGCACTTTTTGTCCGCACTTTTTGTCCGCAAATTTTTCTCTGCAGATTTTTGTCTTTACCTTCTTTCCTCATTCCATAAAGATTAAAATGGTCCAGGATAAAAGTGTGAAAGTAAATATTAAAACAATTTTAAATGTCTTAATTGATTTAAAAATTTAAATTTTTTAATGTATAGATATTTTCTTGTTTAATTTGCGGACAAATATTTGCGGAAATGTGGGAAGATAATAAACACAGTACCAAAAAAATTTTTCGAAAATTTTTAAAGTATTTTTTGGAAATTTTCAGAAATTCCAAAATTTAAACAAAATTTCTAAAAAAATTCTCATCACTTATAAACAATATCATCCACATGAGCCCCCTTTCTTTTTATTGTGTTGCTTAGAAAAGGAGTAGATTGAATTGAAGAAAAGTCCCCCAAATCACTGCTTGATTGGACTGAAGCTGTCCCTCCATTTATTTTCCCTCTTTTTGCCTTTTTTGGAGGGATTGAAAGGAATTGGTTTAGTCGCTCTTGAAGGTTTTGTTGTTGTTGGCTATTTTGTTGTGTTTGTTGAGATTTTTGAAGTATAGCTACTAATAGAGCTGTAGATAATGATTGTTGTTGGGAGTGTTCGTTTGGAGTAGAATTAACTAAATTGTTTAAAAAATTTATTTTTAGAATTTATCCCCCTTTTTGCCTAATTTTCGGAGTCATGATCAGAGGTCGATCGGAAATGACGAAGGTGCCGGAAATCGGAACTGTCGAAAATCGGTAATGGCTCAAAAGTCGGAAATCAGCTCTAATTTTCGGAAATCGAAAGAAAAAAACGTCGGAAATTGGAAGTCGGAGATCAGAATTCCGATCGACCTTTGGTCATAAAAAAAGGAATACTACAATGACATAGGTAGTTGTCCCAATTATGGTTGAAATTAAGAGACCGGACTGGGAGAGTCTTACAAAAATTAAGATCATATCTCGAAATATCTCAAGCTAAATAAACGTGATTTTTGTTGATGATCTCGTTTCAGTCAGTACCTATAGTTGAAATAACCCGGCACTGCCCCAAAGAGTAAAGAGAGTCATTAGGTAATAAATAAACTTGAATGGCTTGGCTCGATTAAGAATTTTTTGAAAAAGGAATAACCAATGACCCTATTGAGGCCTATTTCAGACTTCAAAGAGGTCTCAGATCTTTCTCAAAAAACTACAACTGAAAACTGAGAGAAGCCACCTTTGCTTATTTTCTACCCCAACCAATCTTCAAAATTTATTTTAAAATAAAAATTCACCAATCTTTCCAACTTGATTAAATGCCGAAGACTCTCCACCATCAGAAGGAGAAGAGAAAGACGAAAACGAACTCGTATCAATATTAATAGAGCTACTATTACAACAATCAGAAGAAGTACACAAACTACTCCCTATTCCACTACTATTGTTGCTTTTAATAGAAGAAGAAATGTTTGGGGAATATGGGGAAGAAGAAACATTTGTTTGAACAACATTTGTTGAAGAAACATTTGTTGGGGAAACATTTGTTTGGGAAACATTTGTTTGAACAACATTTGTTGTCGAAACATTTGTTTGGGAAACATTTGTTGGAAAAACATTTGTTGGGGAAACATGTTGTTGTTGTGTTGTTGTAATTAAATTGTCAACAGAATGTTGTTTTGGAAACAAAACAAAGTTTTGTTGTTGTTGTTGTAAATTATTAAATGTTTGTTGTTGTTGTTGAGAAAATTCTGATGTTTGAATAAAACCAGAATTCAAACCAGAATTTCCCCCATTTTCTTCTCCTCCCTCGTTTAAATTTAAGTGAGGATTATTAGCTCTAAGAACACCAGATTCACGCAATAATTGTTCACGGACAGAATCGTCGGCTACTAAAAAATTTTTTTTTAATTTTTTGAAAATGTTTTGAAAATTTTTTTTACTATTTTTCAGAGCTTTAAGATATTTTGCGTGTTCATATATTTTGTGTTCTGCAACATGACAACTTTTCAGGTGTCGAATCATTCCGGTTGTGCTGAAAAATAAAAATTTTGATTAGAATTCGAGGGGGTTTAATTAGAGAGAAGAAAGGGACGATCATAAAGAATCGTACAAAACACTCCAAAAAATACCAATCTCGATAACCAGTAATTTGTTCGAGATCTAGTCTCGGTCCGTCTTCTTAACAGCGAGTTTACTGGGTTTTAGGAGCCAGAATATGCTCAGGTTTGAATCAGAGGACCCATAAAAATTCTATTCGAGTGCTCAAAAGATTGGTTTTTTGACTAGATGATACCCTGTTACTACAGCTAGCCTTCAACTCGATTTTCTAAAAAAGACAAGAATATTCCTAAAATTAGGCAATTAATAGTCATCGCGACCCTTACAATTTCTTTTTTAAAAATAATTTGCCTGCTATTAGTAGCTTTAATAGTTTTTTGACAAATAGAACAAGTAGCAGCCTTTTCTCCATTCGGTCTTTCCGAGAAGAACCGCCAAACTTCGGCTGTTTTGGCAGAAGAACCTCCAACACGTGGACGGCGTTGAATAGGTCTTTGAGTTGTTTTGACATTTTCAACTTGTTGTTCTGATTGTTGGGTTTTTTCAATGTTTTCGTTCTGATACAGAAAAAGAATGTTTTTGTAAAAAAGTTTTTGAGTTTTAAAAAGGGATGTTTTTAGGATGTTTTTTAAGATGTTTTTAAAACATGAATTAATAGGGGTTGTAAAACAAATTTATGGGTGTTTTTAAGTTTGTAAAACCTCAATGTTTTTAGAGGCTTTTTACGGCTTGGTGAATAAGGCTGGCGGATCCGAACCCGAAAAAGAACGGATATCTATATATATTTCGGTTCGGATATCCGAAGATCACCAACTATCCGCCAACCTTAGAATATACCATTTGGTCTTTCCGAAAAAAATGTTTCAAGTTTCAGAGAGTTCTAAAGCTTAACACTACTAGGGCGTCGACTCATCCTTAAACCTCTCTCCTATTCCTACACTTTAAAATTAAAAACTTTTTTTCCCAAAACCACACCTCTTCCTGCCCTTCCTCAACATCTTCTTCATCCATAACAATAGAAGGATCAACCAAAAATTTTTCTTCATCCTCCCCCTTTTCTCCATATAAATTTTGATGTTCTGGATGTTGTAAATGCCTTTCTGGACTGTCCGTACCAGTCGAACTATTTTCTTCTTTAATTTGGGGGTAACCAACAATATTGTTTTGATTTCCAATTGCTAAATATTTAATTTATTATTTACTTTTTATTTAATTTAATGTTTAGAGCAGATTTGCTGTTTATGTACCAGTTAAGAACTAACCGTTAAGAATCATCTTACAGTTAACAATAATCTTTCGAATTGAAGTTTAGCTAACGGGAAGCAAGTGAACTTAATTATGACCTTTTGAAGTCGTCGACTGGTTAACCCCATGAATGATGGATATTTTCAATAATATCAACCGATGAATATTTATTAAATAAACAACATTCAGGAGGATCAATCGAGATTGATAGATATATTTTTACAAAATACGTCAGGATTATTTAAAAATTCCAAATTTTACATATTAAACATAAAAAATTTTTAAATTCACATTGTTGTCGAAGCAAAAGTCCAGCATTATTTATTTGATTATTGGAAGCAGCTGCTACAGCATTTCTTATTAATTGTTGAACTGCTGTTGCAAAATTGAAAGCTGGTGGTAGGCGAAATTCGGGAGGTGGAGAAAGATTCTAAGTCAATTGAAAAAAATTAGTTTAAGTCTAAATTTTGTTCAATGGAAATCTAGAAGGAACTATGCTTCTGCAATAATGACTTATTAAATTAATTCCCCGCAACAACCTACTAGCTTAAAAAAAGACGGCTAAATTTACGCGTGGCATGCCAAACAAGCTAATTTTTCAAATTCTTAAAACACGCCAGACACTAACTGCAAAATCCGAGAAAATTAAAAAAAAAAGTTGTGCGCCAAAAACGCAACGCCAAAACGTCATGGCGCACATCCTTGCTTCTAGCTAAAGAAAACTTGAAGAAAATAAACTTAAAACTTGAGTGAAACGAACTTGACATAATAAACTTGGAAACTTACAAACTTAAGACAAATAAAACGAACTTAATTTAAGTTTGTAATCTTAAGTTTTAAAGAACCCCCCCAAAGAAACTTAAATTTCCATAAAAAATATTTAAACAGAAAAAAGACAATTTTACAACAACCGATAACTGCATATTAGCAACAATAGCAGCCAAAGACGGATTTGAAGCAGCCTGGTTTCTAGCCGCCAAATTAGCCAATAAATATTGCAATTGTGGAGGGGGATAAGTAATTTGCTGTCCAATATTGTTATTTTCATTTAACAAATTTTGTTGGGTGGAAGAGGAGGAAGAAGAACTTCCAGGGTCAGATAAGGGTGTAATTGAAGAATTATTTTGTTGATTGGCAGTTTGCATTTGATGAAAGAAAAAAATATTTAAATAAATTTTTTGAAATGGTCGGATAGACCGATCTAAATATTTAAAAGATTTTTTAGTAGTTAAGATTTTTGAGAAAAACAAATTTTTGAACAGAATCCAAGCTTTAAAAAATTCGAGTTGTAATTTACTTAGGTAGGGTGTGTCTTGGGACTAACAGAATAACACAAGGAATAAAATAAAATTTTTAGCACAAGAGTAAATGCAAAAATATCCAGAGCTGCTTCGAAAGTTTGATTTTCGACTTTCGGAGATTTTTTGGAACAGCTCTAAGTCAAGATTGACCGCCTAATGGATGTTTCTGATCTAGACCCACATGAATAACACGAATGTTTCGCGAAGCAAAAAATTAAAAGTTTGAGAAAATATTTTGCTACTGGGAAACAAAACTTCAAAAAATACATGTTTGTAATCTTGACTTTAAATAAAACCTGAATTTTCAAGCTTGAACTTAAATAAGTTTTATTTTGATATCTTAAACTTAAATAAACTTGAACATCCAAGTTCAAGCTTGAACTTAATAAACTTAACTTAAATAAACTTGAAATTTCAAGATTACAAACTTGGAAAACTAAAAAAAAATTAATCAAATTAAAACAGCATAAAAATCAAAGATTATTCTTTTAACTGGATTTAAAAACAAATTTTCACTTTTAGATTAAAAACAGACGCAACAATAAAGCAGATAAGCGCGCAATAAATATTTATACAAGTAGTGGTTTTTATTTAAAAATGAGAAAGAGGAGAATCGGGAAAACTAAAAAAACTAAAAAAAGCGACTGGAAAAGCAGACAGAAAATCGTGTTCAATAATTTGCCAATGGAAAGGGAATGGACGAGAGAATAATTTTAAATAAGTAGAAAAATTAATTTTGCTCAGGAAAAAAAAGGTGTGAGGGCAAATGGAAAGTCCCTCCCACAATATTTAATGTCAATATATTCATCCTCTTGATTAAAATCAGAATTTTGAAAAAAAATTTTAGTCACGAGAGAATTGTATAAAAATAGAATTTAAATAAGTTTATGTAGACCAAATGAGAATAATTGGCAGGTTGACCATTTTGAAAATAATAAACTTGGAATAAAAATAAAACTTAGAAACTTGGACAAACATAAGGGAACTTAAGGGATTGAACTTAAATTAAAAATAAACTTGAAAACTTAAAAACTTGTAAGCTTGAAAAACAAATAAAAACAAACTTAATTTAAGTTTGTAATCTTAAGTTTTAATAAAATAAACATAAAAATTAAACTTGCTCAACAAAACATTGCTAAAAACAACAAAAACATTCTCTATGTTTTGTTGTAAACGGAAGCTATTTAATATATTAAATTATATTCTTTTTGATATAAGAAAAGCAACTGATCATGTTTAAATATGGGGCGCATCTCCGAAAAGAAGGAACGCTTTTGCTTTAGCTCATCCGAACGGGCGAATTATGCAATGAATTTGGGGGAAAAGAAGAAAAGAGAGGAGGACTACTAACTCTCCAAAAAAGAGAGATGTTCGCGCCTGTCTTGTCTTCAAAAAGCTTTTTCTTGTTTTTATAAAAAATAAGAGCAAAATAAGCAAAAATACGAGCATCAAGCCAAAAATGTGTGCCCAGAGAGCCTTATCTCATATTAAAAACAAGAAAATTTGGGGCGTGATCGCGCAGTGATTTCGCTGCGCATTCACATATAACTTGCAGCAAAGTCAGGCCGAAGGCGATAAAAATGTTGTTGAAGAAGCTCTTATGTAACAATAAAAACAAGAGGTGAGTGGAGTAGATATCTCAATATTTAGACAAAAATTGAAGGAGAAATAATTAAAAAAAACTTGTTAAAGAGACCAAAAATCTTGATAAAAATGAAGAAACAATTTATTTTTTGCTTGCATATGTAGAAATATGTAGAAATGTAGAAACAAAAATTTACATCTTAGAATAGCGTGTATGGGTCCAGAACATGATAATATTTAATAGAGCCTTACACAAATAAAAAAGGATCTCAAAATCATGTCGCAGTCAAATCAAAAAATCGGAATGAAAAAAGAAGCAATTATCAGAAATGTCATGAGGCGAGAAAAAAGTCGGGAGGGTTTTTGAACCGGCTTTCGGTTCAATAAAGTCGGAGTTTCTCATATTTAGGGTTTCGAGTAACCCGGTTTTTTCTTTGTTTTTGCATCAAAAATATGTTGCAAAAACAAAAAAATAGCGTGTATGGGTCAAGCAATTATCAGGGTTGTTACAACTTAGGCCCTAAAGGTGTCCATTTGGATGGGACATATCAGAAAACGGAAGCATTCAAAATCAGAAAGCAGTTAAATTTTAGCTTTGTTTCTCTGAAATAAAAGATATTAAAAAAAGTTTAGAATCAAATAGCTCTAAAAAAGAGAAAAATTTCAAAAGATTGTGTTAAAACGTGTTTTTAATGCAAACCTTTCGGGACAGTTTTGCTTATAAGCTAAAACAGAGCTGTATATTTTTAACAAATAAAAAGCGCACACCGGTGGGACTAAAACTGCTGAGCGATTTTTGGCTAAAATACAGAATGAATGGATGGATGCGCTTAAAGGCTTTTTTTCTTGTTTTTTTTTTCTTTTTCTAATCTTTCCCGTGCAGCATTTTGGAAGGGACATAAGCATTAAAAGATGATTTGAAGGAGTGAATTGGTAGAAGGGAAGGAGGGAGGGGAGGTCGAACGAGGTGTTGTTATGTTCACCAAAAGATCTGGTTTTTCCACAAAACTCTTCTCTATCCTTCCCAAAAAATCGTTCCCTTAACAAATTGAAAATTGGAAGACGGGAGAATAAAAAATTTTTTTTGTTGATCGTCGGCCATGGGATTGGAGGGGGAAAAGCTATAGAGGATCCTTCTGGCGATGAAGACGCCAATACGTGTGTGTGTGGTGTATTTACGTGAATATAAGGGGAAGAAGGAGAGGGGGGGAAGATGAAGAGGGGGGAGGGAAGGAGAGGGAAGGATGAAGGAAAAGGGGGAAGAAGGGAAGGATTAGCTGAAGCTGTAGAAAAATGAGAGAGAAAAATGGGCCGCTGGGCCGAAATGCCTTCTTTTAATGGGCTGCCCTTCATTCCATGCAAAACGCGCAAGAGGAACGCGTTTTTCATCCCAAAAGATGAAAATTGAGGCCCTAAAGGTGAATGAATGTCCTATGCGCGAAAACATGCAAAAGAAAGAAATGGTGCATTTACGGGAGGATGAAAGTGTGTCATTGGGACTTTTTAAATTAATTGATGTGAATAAAGCAGGAAATTTTGAAAAATCTGGAATTTTTTGGAATAATTGGAAGATTTGATTAGTTTAGAGAAGAATTATTTTATTTTATTTGTTAATGTGAGTATTGGGGGATGAACAAAAATAAAGGGGTTTCAACCCGAGATAATTGGGATCATAGTTGGGGTTTGGAGTCGGGCCGACGTTCGAGTCATTTTTTTCGGGCTCATTTTTATTGGGCCGGCCCGACTGTCTTTTCGGGACAAAATTAGATGCCCGACTCGATCCTTCGGACCGAACCGGGCCCCTATTCTCAAAAGGAATCAGAAAGACACAAATGTCAAAAGTCAAAATGAAGTAAAATATCGAAAATTGGAGGTCAGAAATGAAAGAAAATAAAAGAACGTCAGAAACCGAAATTCCATCTAGTGTTAGGCACGGTTCGGGACTATATCGACATTAAGGACATGGGATAAATGAAGGAATATATATCCAAAAAGTATATGGGATAATATAAAGATTCAAGTATAATTATTAAAAAAAGGTTAAAAAATATTTTTAAAGTAAAATAGTGTCAAATACAAGGAACGAATTCAAAAAAAATAAAATAAAAAGGTTTAAAAAATCTAGTTTGAAGCAGGTTCTGCCGTTTTATTTAAAGAAAAATGACAGTCTTTATTTGCAAAATTGAGGGTAAAAAGCGACAAATCCGCATTTTCAAAGCTTCTTAACTCATTTGGATTGAAAAGAAGAAATAAAAAGTGAGGGAAGAAGCTTTAAAAAATTCTCAAAAAAGGTACACGCGGCAGTTAAAGTCAAGTACACACCTAAAATCGAGTTTTGCTTCCCGCCGCGCAATGAAGAAGCGAGACACTTGAGTAGCTTATTTTCTTAGGGATACTTGGGGGATACTTGGGTAAAGCCTTGGAAAGGTTTAGAAATGGAAGGAAGGGAAGAGAGGGGACTAGAAGGGAAGGAGGATGATCACAATTAGAGTCATAATTTTGGGGAGACTTGGGTAAAGCCTTGGAAAGGGAAGAAGGGAAGGAGAGGGAAGGGAGAATGATCACACTAGTAGTTAGATAGCCTTTAAAAGATCTTCTTAGCTAGTAGCTTATTTTCTTAGGGATACTTGGGGATGCTTGGGTAAAGGCTTGGAATGGCTTGGAAAGGCAGAGAAGAGACTAGAAGGGAAGGAGGATGATCACACACTAGTAGTCAGATAGCCTTAAAAGATCTTCTTAGCTTTCACTCTTAAAGCCTCCCAATCCTTAAAGACGGACAAAGCTCCAAATTTATTAAGCTAGCAAGTATTCTCTCCTTCAAAATAATTACCACGCAAGGCGAGAAGAACGTAAAAAAAGAGGAGAAGAGGCCAATTTATACCCAAAAAGAAAGTTAGCGAGTTTCAAAAATTGCTGACCAGCCCTCAAAAATTCTTTTGTCATTGCAACAAATGAACAAAAAATAATAGTCTAAGAGTATATTGTATTTATAAATAACCGGACTTGGATCGGGTTTGTGAATTAAAACAATTTTCTTTTTGCTTTTCGTAGTTTTAAGCAAAGACAAAAAATCAAGGAAAAGTTCAAAAATAAATTTAAAGAAAAGCTAAAAATCACACAAAAAATGCAAATATGTATAGTGAACTGAACGAAAGAGTTATCTGAAGTTTCAATCTTTTTATAAGCTAGACCTATGTTTCTCGTTTTGCTCTCGAAGTAGGAGCCTATGAACAGATTAATATGCTACATAAATTCTGAAA